CCCCTCCTCCCCTGCCTTAGGGGCTGCGCGAAATACACGTTGCAGGTAAGAGAGTCTTCCCCTGAGGGGGTACGATCGGAGACGAAGAGGGCGGTTATCGAGGGTTTGGGGTATGCGAGTTGAATGGCACGCGAGCAGATAAGCACGAACAGTCTTAAAATAATCGTTGCTGCTGGTGCTGCTGCTGTTGCTGCTGTTGTTGTAAACCGGGGACCAACAACCCAGTTGTGTGGCAACTTTCCCTGATACAAGAGAAGGGTGCGAGCCCCGGGAGGAGCACATGAATTGAAACAGTATTATTCGTCACCAGAGGGAAGGATCAACAACAAAAGGCACGCGCGCCAAGGACCATAAAATCACGGATGCCGGACAATTGGAGGTGGCGATGGCGCCAAGCTTTGGTAGTTTTGAAAAAGCGCGCGAGTGCCGCGACAAGCCGGCGAGTGACAATAACGAGTGAGCGGCGAAATGCAGCATGGCTGCGCGAATGCAGCGCACGGTTTGATCTGAAGGCGGTCTCAATATGACGGGAGAGGTTTGCGAGGTTTCAATGGCGTGTTTTCCAAACCGACCCTTGTATGGAGCGAAACACTTGGTCACTAGGCGCTTTTCGAGGCTTTTGTTGTTTGGCGTCTCTGGGGTTTCTGTGGTGTCCGTTTGGGCCCTTTTAAAATATGTTTGGTGCCCTTTTGGGTCGTGATGAGGTTCTTTTTGGCTGCATTCGGGCGTCTTGAAAGGCTTCGACCGCCCCGGGGCTTTTTTAGGGGCCTCTTGAGGCCGTCTTGGCGGGGGGCCACGGGGGAAGCGAAGGGGGCGCGGTCGGTCGGAATAAGGTGGATGGGGGCCTACGGGAGGAAAGGGCTGCACGGTCGGTCGGAATCAGGGGAGGGGGCAGGGGGTTGAACGGGGGGGCCACGGTCGAGCAGCGCGGGGGGGGCACGGCCGGTCGGAATCATGAGAGGGGTGCCGCGGGGGGAAGGAAGGGGGGGCACGGTCGTTCGATGTCGGTTGGAATGGAGGAAGGGGGAAGTAAAGGGGGTGAGCGGGAGAGCGCGGTCGGGAAGGGGAGGGGGGCATGATCGGCCGGAGTAACAGAGGGGGCACGGGGGGATGGGGGGGCACGGTCGGTCGGAAAAAGAGGAAGGGAACCACGGAACCACGGAGGGGGGGAAAGGGGGCACGGTCGGTCGGAATAAACGGAAAAGGAGCGTGGGGGGGAAACGGGGGGCCATGGTCGGGCAGGAGAGGGGGCGCAGTCGGGCAGCGGGGGGAGGGCACGGTCGGTCGGAATCAGGAGAGGGGGGCCACGTGGGGGATGGGGGGGCACAGTCGGTCGGAATGAACTGAGCAGGGTGCGGGGGGGGGAGCAGGGGGCCACGGTCTGGCAGCGGGAGGGTACACGGTCGGTCGGAAGAAAGAGAAGGGGGCACGGGGGTAAGGGGGGCGGGCACGGTCGGGAGGAATCGGGGGACTGGGGCAGGGGGGGAGAACGAGGGGGCACGGTCGGGCAGCGTTTTGGGGGGGGCACGGTCGGTGGGAGCAAAGGGAGGAGGATCACGGGGCGGAGCGGGCGGTGGGGCACGGCCGGTAGGAATTCAGAGAGTGGGGCGGGGGGGGAAAGGGGGGCCTCGGTCTGGCAGCAGGGGGCACGGCAGGTTGGAATAAGGGGAGTGGGGGGCCACAGGGGAAAGGAGGGGCACTGTCGATCGGAATCGCGAGAGGGGGGCGGGGGGTCACGGTCGGGCAGCGGGGGGGGCACGGTCGGTCGGAATAGAGTGAGGTGGGCCAAGGGGGTATGGGGAAGGGGGTGCACGATCTGTCGGAGTAGTAAGGAGACAGTGGCGGGGCGGAGCGGGGGGCCACAGTCGGACAACGGGGGCGGGGGCACGTTCGGCCGGTAGAATGGGGAGTGGGCCGCGGGGGGGAGGGAGGCACGGTCGGTCGGAATATGAGGAGGGGGGGCTGGGGGGGGGAGCGGGGGTCCACGATCGGGAAGTGTGGGGGAGGGTACGGTCGGTCGGAATACGGGGGGAAGGGCGGGGGGCACGGTCGATCGGAATAAGGAGAGGGGGGCGGGGGGGGGAAGGGAAGGCGGCAAGGGAGGGGGAATGGGGGGCCACGGTCGGGCAACGTAGGGGTGCACGGTCGGTCGGAATGAAGCTAAAGCGAAAAATGGAGCCACGGGGGGAAGGCAGCGGGGGAGGGGGGCATGGTCGGGGGGCGTGGGGGGCGTGGGTCCACGGTCGGGCAGCGAGGGGGGTCACGGTCGGTCGGAACCCAGCCCCAGCGCACATCCCAGCAAGTTCGACACATCACATCACACCGGTCTCAGCACACGGATCCCAGCATACCGAGGCAGTGGACCGACACATCCCCGCACACCCAGGCTCGGTCGGTCGAAACAGTGCAGTGCGAGATCACATTTGCAGCTATGATGATAACAAGGTGTTGGAGACGGAACAAAGTTCCCGTGCGGCACGTCCTCACGATTTATTACTCCGAGGCACCCTGGCCAAAGAGGGCTCGAGCCTCAGGAAGGGCACTCTCGCTTGAGACATCCTCACGATTTGGCACCACAGGTGGGTCCTTCAGAGCAGTCGTACCGTTACTTCTGGATACGGCCGTTTTGCGTGATGTTTTTCTTACAATTTAGGACTGCAAGGGGTCCTTCAGAGCCAGGTTGCTGCTACTCGCGGATGCCTGCACTGCCTTTTCGCTCGAGGCTCCTTCGCAATTGAGCACCACATGGTCTTGGAGGCCCCTTGGGCTGTCTGGAGGCGATCTTGCGCGTCTTGGACCGATCGTTGGGCGATTCAGGGCCCTCTTGGACCGTCTTGGCGGCCTCTTCCATCTTGAAGATTTTTGGAGGGCCCCGCCGGGGGGATGGCATTCTACCACTGGACGGCCCCCCCCTGGATCCCGCCCCCTGCCCCCCTGGGACCCCCCCTGGACCCCCCCCACCCAGGCAGGGAAGGGATCAAAGGAGCGGGGTTTCCATTCGACTTATGTGCGACGTTCTTCAATTTCTTTGTTCATTACTTTCTTTGGAACTGACGGCGACGACGACGACAACGACGACCACGACGACGACAACGACAACGACGACGACGACGACGACGACAATGACAACGACGACGACTCAACCAGAAAAGCGTCCCACACACGCCGAAGGGTCGGCGGATTCTGGTTCTTCTTCCTGCTCGAGGGATTACATGCCCTTATCGTAATTTAAATATTCTAATTGCTAGAACCTTCCTGTTCTCTCAGCTTTCCATCATAATTTGTCTGACTCTGCTAAGGACACGGGCATGTTAGCTACACAGTGTTGTTGTTTGTGTTTTGTGATATGCTTACATGTTTTTCAGCGTCGTCTCCCTACTCTGCATGCTCACTTGCGCTGAGTTGTTGGTCTGTTGTCGCTGGTCTATGTGTTCCAATGTTTCCAACTTGCGAGCGCTGCTGCTACATATTGTGAATGTTCGAGCTCTGCTAACTGTTGTCGCTCCTCTAAGTGTTGTCCCCACCTCTGCTGACTGGTCTCGCTCTGACATACAGCGTAGTGATGGTAACTGCTAGGTTCTCCGGTATCCTAAGTATGTGCGTCTTGCTGTCAGTCGGATGCTTCCGTTTCATCACTCAATCATTCACTCACTCCCTCTTTACCCCTCATACTGAGATTCACCTACGCTCCGGCCATTCACATTCACACCCGCTCACTCTCAGATTTGTCTATACTAAGACGCATGCGCACTCAGATCAATGCGGACTCAGGCCACTCATATTCAGACTCATCCTTTTCGTATTCTCTCACTCACGCGCAGACTCGTTCATGTTCGCACAACCCATACTTCTACCCTCTTCAATTCAGATGTATTCACGCTCACATTCTTCATATTCAGACTTATCCTGAGGCTCCTCATGCTCCGACCAACTCATACTCACATTCCCAGGTAAGATGTAGCAGGCACGGCACTTGGGCTTCCCAAGGGGGGCACGACAGTTGGTATATCACGGTCCCTTTAGCGTCAAGTGGTTGGGACATGAAGGTTAGAAAGGGTGTTTTGAGGGGGTAGACGCGTCTCTTTGGAAAGCTCAACGATCATCGCGATGTAACAGGCATGTCACTTGGGCTGCCCAAGGGCGAACCGCAAGGGGGTATATCACGTGCCCATTCGCGCCCAGATTGTCGGGACCTCTCATGTGGAATTGTGGTTTTGGCACGATTGACGCGTCTCCGGGGAGCCCCAGGATGATCGCGATGCGATGTAGCAGGCACGTGATTTCGGCCTCGGAGGGCCCGCCAGGTGAGATATCACGGGCCTGTTAACGCCCAGGTTGTCGGCCATATTCGCTCATATTCAGACGCGCTCATACGCAGATACTCGGAAATGGAAGCGCCAGAAAAGATATGCGCGTATGGAGAAGAGATGCACCTATGGGGATCCTCTGTCGAATGACTATTCGAGATCTCCTAACCATGAGCTCCAATCCTGATTGGCATCCCGCAGCACACTGTAAGCGCGATCTTCCCGACGTGCTTACGGAACTGACGCAGGAAGCTGCAATCCAACGCCTACTGACATGCGTGCTTTATCTCTGCACGCGAACTTTTCGCCTGTAGCTGCAGCGTGTGCGCCCTGATCGGAACCCTGGCCTTGCGCCGAATGGGAACACGCGCTGCGTTGCTGATCGTTGTGTCGCATCCTTCCCCTGTTCCTTCCCTTCCTCTGTCCAAGATACCTGCGGTACAAGACGATTCCGCGAAACGTAGAAGCTTTTTGCTGGCACTTACATATGTTCGGACCCAATTGTTCTAATCATTCGAGGTGCTGTAGGTCAGGTAGCGAATTGCCTGGCAGCTTCACCCAACCGCGGGACAAGCACGGCTGCTGCCCTGTCGGTGTTTTTTCGACTGATCCCATCTCGGTCTTGTGCAATGCTGCACAATCGATGATCCGCCAGCGAGAATCCTGGCGTGGACGGGGCGCGCGACTGCCCAGGACTGGGACGCCGAGGCAGAGGAAATGGACGAGGAGCTCCGGAGGGGCAACTGCCAGGAGGCGCCTTCCGTTCTACCGGTAGTGACTCGGGAAAGGTTTCTGCGAGGCGCACTTGATCATGGGGCGGACCTGACTTGATCCATTTCTGCACATGTCCGGCCCACTGCCAGAAACCCGGTGTCCTCCAGTCCCGAGATGCAGGGGGCAGCAGGAGAAAGATACTGAAGTGAGGGAGGAGGAGGAGGAGGAGGAGGAGGAGGAGGAGGAGGAGGAGGAGGAGGAGGAGGAGGAGGAGGAGGCGGGGGAGGAGGAGGAGGAGGAGGAGGAGGAGGGGGAGGAGGAGGAGGAGGGGGAGGAGGAGGAGGAGGAGGAGGAGGAGGGGGAGGAGGGGGAAGAGAGGGAGGAGCAAGCATTGACGTATACTGTCCGCAACCGTAGCCTTAGGAAGGTGCAAGAGTAAATGCAGGCGGAGATAGTCACGCCCGACCCTCGACTCGTTCACACCTGGCGGACTCGCGCACCCTTCGTCCTTGCACGCCGAGGTGGAGTTCGAGAGCGACGACGACATGCCGGAGGACTATGCCCCATCCCGCTCATCCATGTTCCCCCCCCCCTCGCTCCCCCCACCCCTCCTGGCCTGATCCCGAGGAGGTGGTGGCGGAAGGGGAGCGGCATGGCAGCGTATGAGTGGATGCGCCACGGGCAGGAGATGAGAGCGGCTCTGCAATTAGCTCGGCCACCAGATCCCCTGTCATCTCAGGCGGAGGGAAGAGACAGGTGGGGCGAATGAGCGGCTGCGCGGGGGATGGGGCAGACAAGGTGCATTCGCGCCACATCTGACATCCTACCCTTTTGCCCAACGCTTTCCGTTCGGTTGAATCCTTTTCCATCCGCGGTCTGGGGTGTCTTGGTCCTCACACATGTTGGTTATCAAATAGCAGTTGCAGGATTTGGCCCATCGTTTGCTGTGCAATCGGGAAGGGCGGGGCTTGCTGCGAGTGTGAGGAGGAGAAGGAGGACCAGGAGGAGGAGGAGGAGGAGGAGGAGGAAGAGGAAGATGAGAGCAGAAAGCGGATGGATATGGATGGAGGTGGAGGAAAAGCAGACGGAGCAGGAGGAGCAGGGGCGTCAGTGGAAGGCGGAGGAGGGGGAAGGAGGGAGATGGCAACGACGGGAACGGCATGGCTCGCGCTGGGCCTAGGACGCCGTGTATGGCGAGGAGATCTGCACACATCCACTGCCCCAGGCCTGGCCCATCCTTGGCCCAGGTCGCGGAGGAGGAAAAGGTACCCATACCACTACCCTTCTCTAGCTTTCGCCTTCTTGGGCCTCCTGGAAGGCCCTCGTCGCCACCGCTGGAGATTCGCCTCGAAATTCTGGTGGAACGCGCCCAGGGAGGAGTAGCGGCATCGGCAATTTCTGGTTTCCCCAGGAGCGGTGTGTATGCCTTCTGGCTTGGCCAGGGAGGAATATTCTACACAGCTCCTGGGCCCAGGCCTGGGCAAGGACTGGGGCTCTGGATCTGTATGGATCTCGTCGCCCTACCGTTCTAAATGACGGGAGCACCGATCCTCACATGCGGCGGATGCTGTAGCCTGTAGCGGGAGCGCGATTTTCTTCAGTGCCGGAGACGATCCCATCGAGAAGCACACAGCACACCAATGTTTGAACTCGTGTGTGTGTGTGTTTGTGTGAGAAGTGCGTGGGAGAGGCTGGGACACGCTGGCACATGGTCAGAGGAGGGCAGAGAGTAGTATTCAGATTGAGGAGCCGGACAGACAAGCCAGGACTGGATGCATCACGTCTGGCCTCCTGCCCCTCCCGCCAAACCCTGCCCACCGGTCAGATCCCTGTCTATTCGTGGAGTCGGGCGTAGAATCGAAGCAGGATCCCTTGTCGAACCGTCGGTTATTGCACTAAGGGTGAGGAGGCCGGCGACTAGGAAGCGATCAGGGAGATCGCTCGACCCCTGGATGCAGAGACGATGCGCACTATCGAACACCGACCGGGTCAGGAATGGGAAGGGGAGGGAAGGGGGAGCAATCGTGGAACAAATGTACATTGTTGTGCCTGTCTCGTTGTGCGCTGCTGCTACACCCGAGAAATATGGGAGTAGCTTATTGCTTCATCGTTCCCCCCAGGCCTTAGTCCGCCTGGTCTTCCCCGATTGTCTTTCCTGCTCCTTCATACTCCAGCAGGGTGGCTCAACCCCAGACTCGCACTGGAAAGATCTCCAACAGTCAAGCCTCCAGTGTGGAGGTTCAGAAGTTCAGAACTCTCTGGTCTCTCACTCAATGGTTCTCCCCTGATCTCGCTCCCACCGTGGGACGCTTCTCCTCCCCCTCCCTCACCCCCCTGGTTATCCCCAATCGGCGGCGGGCGGGGGGGGGCCGGGGGGAAGTGAGAAGGGGCGAGCCTGTTCAGAAGACTCGGAAGTCCCCCCGCCCTTCTGAGAAGTTTTCTGGGCCTTCCCCGCAGACATAGAAAGCCTTTCAGAAGGCCGGAGGGCTCCCGAAGCCCTGCCGCCTTCTGAGAAGGCCTTCTCCTTCTCATTTCCCCCCCCCTCGCTCGCCGCCGAAACATTCCCGCGAACCAGTCGCCGTAGGGCAGCCCAAACTCACCGGGACAGTGGGCTTCGCCCCCCCCATTCGGGAAAGGGCGGCAGGACATCTGCGTCATACTAGTACTATGTGTGCGGCGCCCCCCCGGGGGCGACGCGCGCACCGAGAAATCTTATAGCATATGCGTCGTGGCTGGCGCTTTCTGGCCACGCCGCTCGGGAAACGATATACTACAAGATGGGTATACTATATGTTCGGGGCGGACGCGTGCCTCCAAGGAGGACATATAGTATTAGTATGTCTATGTGCGTCCCAGGAAAGAGGAATCTCGGCATCCCTTCGGACGTGTGCATGTTTCCCTCGGCGAGGACCATCGAGGAGCATCCTGGATCATCGAGCAAACAAACAAAACACGCACGAGGCCCCCCAAAAATGCACTGGGAATGAACGTCCGACCGATGGCGAGGAGTGGGGAGCCGAACCCCCCTCTCCTTGCAGCTTCTGCTGCCAGGCACCACTGGGAGCACGCCGGCGCGCCCGGCTTCGCCCTCCTGCGACCCCTCGTGCACGCCACGCGGGGGGGGGGGGGGGGCAGGGAGGGGCCAGGAAGCGGCGGGCAGCCCGCCCAGGCAGGCCCCGACGGTGCAGAGGGCAACGGCCACAGAGCATCAGGCTCTGCTTCCCCGTCCCCCCTCTCCTCCCCCTCGGAGGATGCGGAGTATAAGTCCGTACGTAGCCCTCGGTCTCCGTATGGCCTTGCTCCGTCTGGACTGACCCTCTAATGGTAGGATGCTGAGTCCATGCGGAGGGAGTCCGCACGGAGTGCTGGGCCTCCGTGTGGTATGGACTTACTCCGTCTGGACTTAGCCTCCTGATCCCCCTCCTCCTGTAGATGGACAAAAAAGTGGAACCCTTGACATCGAGCCCCCCCTCCCCCCAATTTCAAAGTTGGCCTCAAGCATTTGGCAGCACAGGCGTGAGAGGACAAAAAAAGTGGAACCCCCAGGGCCTCCGAGAGGCCGAACCCAACTTTGAAATTGGGGGGAGGGGGGGGGGGGACGAATGCGGGGCCGAAGACGAAGGGGTTCCATTTTTTTGTCCCCTTACCGTCCCATGGCTCGTCCACAGTGCAGTCTCTCCAGAGCTTCAAGGTTGAAGCCCGCCCAGGTCGCCTCTTCAGAGCGGTTGCGGCTGGACCGGCTGCACCCTTGAGCGCCCGTGAGGGCGAGAGGGAGTCTGTTCAGCAGCTTTTTTTCACCAATGAGGCTTCCCTATGTATATATATATATATATATATATATATATAGGGTTCTTACTCCGTTGAGAAGTGGTGCCTCGGGGGCTTACTGTGCCCGTTCCCCGGGGATTCCTCGGGCTCCCCGGCTTCCAGGGGTTTCCCGCCCCCAGTGCCTCCGGTTCTGAAGTTGCCCGTTGCCCAGAGGTTCCCCAGATTCCCCAGGTTACCTGGGTTCCCCGCCCCCGGTTCCCCGGGCTCCCCGTGTTCCCTGGGTTTCCCGCCCTCCCCAGGTTTCCCGGGCTCCCCCGGTTCCTCGGGTTCCCCGCCACGGGTGCCTCATGCCAAGCAACGCCAAGCAATGCCAAGCACTGCCATGCAATTGCAAGCACTGCCAAGCCAAGCAATGCCAAGCACTGCCAAGCACTGCGCCCATGCAATAGGAAGCTTTCCCCTACTTGGGGTCGCGCCGGGTTCGTGTAAAACAAACCTTGCTGCAAACCATGCTTGGCCGCGTGCCGCTCCTTCTCCCTGGTCCAGGGTACGTCTGAACTGGCTGCTCCCAAGCATTCCACCACCCACCAAGCCACCCCAACCCAACCCGACGGCCCAAACTTGCTTTACATTTCCAGATGGGGGGAGGGCGTCGGGGAACATTGAACAAAAAACATGTGGAACTCGTACCCCCCCAACCCGAAATTTGGATCTTCGGGTTAGATTGTTGTGGTCTGGTAGGTCGTCAGCATTCGTACCGCGCGCCTGTCGCCGGCCACCCCTTGTTCCCATCCCTGGGAGGACTCCGACGGTGACGTCATGGACAACCCCGACGAGGAGATAGGCCTACGGGTCACGAGAAAGGGCGACAAGTAGCAGAGAAAACGGCAAGGTAGTTTGGGCCTCCGCCTTCTCGCAATGCGAGTTCATCAGGGGCAGAACGCTCTCCTTGAAACTTTCACTGTCTTAGCCCCCCTGGTCCGAGCAACTCAGCAGGTGTCATCAACGAGAATGACATCTACTCCGACGAAGACCTCGCACATCAGGGAGTAGACGACGCCGTGACATCTGTGGCGCATGCGGAGAGCGTTCTCTCGGTGATGGTGAACCCGACCGATTGGAATAGCTTGGTGACTGGTGGCCAGGATCAGACGCGTGGGTGGGGATGTTGTCTGCCATGAAGATCGATTTTGCTTGAAGTCGACTGCAGGGGGGTGAACATGGAAACGTAGTCTGCGATGGAAGAAGTGCGAGCGGCGCCACGGAGTATGGTCATCCCATCATGGTGTCGTCCTCTTCAGTGGTTCACCGAAGCTCGTCGGATTCCGCCCAACTGACACCATGATTCCTTCTTCCTGCCCCCCCCACTCCGTCTCGTCCTCTTCATTGGCATGTGCACTTTTCCTGCCCACGCGCCAAACGGTGTATGGCTCCTCGACTCGACACCGTGTGTGCAAGGTGGCTTTGCCGACCATTTTTCTTGGAGACTGGGCGGGCGACCCTGGATCCCTCCCTAGCGGGCTGTTCCTTGGCATCGCTCGGCAGTGCGCATTTTTTCTCGGCGAGGACCATCGAGGAGCATCCTGGATCACCTTGCGAACAGAGCACGCGTGAAACCGACAAACGCACGGGAAATGGACGTCCGAGCGATGGCCAGGTTCGCCCCACCAGAACGTCATCACTCTTCCCTCGCTCTTTCCGCCACCAGGCTGGCACGGGAATGGACAAAGCGTTTCAGGAATTTGCCCGAGAGGGCTCATGGCACCGTTCTTGGGAGCCTTTGTGTTAAGAACTGTTTGGCGTCACCGTTCACTCGTGGGTGCCTTGGCCTTCAGATGTTTTACGGTCACCGTTCGATCTTGGGAGCACTTGTGTCAGGAGCTGTTTTGCGTCACCGTTCACTCGTGGGTGCCTTGGTCTTAACATTTTTTACGGTCAACGCTTGCTCTTGGGAGCCTTGGAGTTATGAATTTTCTGCGTCACTGTTCGCTCTTGGGAGCCTTGGCGTGCAGAGCTTTTTACGTCACCGACTCGCCTTCTAAAGGTTTTTCTTGCCCTGGAGCTCTTGAAGGCCTTGGCGTCAAAGCTGTGTCCGTAACCGATCCGTCTCGGGGCCCTCCTGGGGGGGACCTCTTGAGACGCTCTTAGAGGCATAGTGGGGGCCTCTTAGGGGGATTTGGGGGGCCTTTTGGGCCGTGTTCGGGATCTCCTGCTGGCCTCTGAGGCAGTCTTGGTGCCTCTTGGGCTGTCTTGGAACCCTCTTGGACCGTCTTGGGAACATCTTGGGCCGTCTGGGGGGCCTCTTGTACGCTTGGGCCGCATGCGGGCCCTCTTGGGCCGTCTTGGAGTATTGTTGGGCCGTCATGGAGGTTTCTTGGACCGTCTTGGGGCGATCTGGGAGGCCCCCGGGGCCATAATGGGCGGTCGCAGGCCCGAGACGGCGAGAAGGCTAACAACTTTTGAACGCCGAAGGAGCATCAGTGGATGTAGCTTCTTGCGGCCCTCTTAGAGATTTCTTGGGGTCCTCTTGGGGCGTCTTGGCAACCCATGGGGCGTCTTGAAGCCATCTTGGGCCTTATTGGAGCGATCTTGGACCGTCTTTGGGCCCTCCTGGGCCTCTCTGAGACCGTCTTGGGGTCTCTTCGGTCGTATTGGGGGCTGCTCTTTGGGGCCTCTGGGCAGCTCTTGGGGCCCACTTGGGCGTTTTTTGTTTGTTTGTGTTTGTTTGTTTGCCTGTTTGGTTGGTTGGTTGGTTGTTCCCAACCATCATGTGGTGTTGGGTCCTCGTTTTGAAGAGACAGCGCCCCGCGTTCTCACTCCTCCCGCTGCCCCCTCCCTTCTCCAATCATCATCCTCGTCATCCTCCTCATCATCATCAGCAGCATCATCGTCATCATAAAACTCATCATCAGCAGCAGCAACATCATCAGCATCATCATCATCAACACCATCATCATCATCACCATCATCATCAGCATCATCATAATCAGCATCATCATCATCGTCTTCATCTTCATCTTCATCTGCATCTGCATCATCTTCATCTTTATCTGCATCTTCATCATCATCAGCATCATTATCATCGTCATCATTCAGCGTCATCATCTTCAGCATCATCATCACCATCCATCATCATCATCATCATCATCATCATCATCATCATCATCATCATCAGCAGCAGCAGCAGCATCATCATCATCATCACCGTTGTCATCATCATCAGCCGCATCATCATCATCGTTATCACCCGTTTCAGCACACCCCTCACACGTTTCGTGGCCCCATCGGGAGCCCCACCGAAGGCCCATTATGCCAGCGTTCGCATGCGCCCACCGCGTCCATTTTGGCATGCACCTCGCACGTTTCGTGGCCCCATAGGGAGCCCCACCGAAGGCCCAAATGCCAGCGTCCGCATGCGCCCACTGCACCCATGTCAGTACACCATTCACACGTTGCGTGGCCCCACAGGGAGCCCCACCGAAGGCCCGAATTCCAGCGTTCACATGCGCCCACCGCACCCATGTCGGCACACCATCCACACGTTTCGTGGCCACGTAGGGGGCCCCACCGAAGGCCCACATGCGGGCGTTCGCATGCGCCCACCGCATGCATTCTGGCACACCCCTCACACGTTTCGTGGCCTCATAGGGAGCCCCACCGAAGGCCCGAATTCCAGCGTTCACATGGGCCCACCGCACCCATTTCGGCACACCACTCACACGTTTCGTGGCCACGTAGGGGGCCCCACCGAAGGCCCAAACGCAGGAGTTCGCATGCGCCCACCGCATCCATGTCGGCACACCCCTTACACGTTTCGTGGCCACGTAGGGGGCCTCACCGAAGGCCCAACTGCCAGCGTTCGCATGCGCCCACCGCGTCCATTTTGACACGCACCTCACACACTTCGTGGCCCCATAGGGAGCCCCACCGATGGCCCAAATGCCAGCGTTCGCATGCGCCCACCGCACCCATGTCGGCACACCCCTCACACGTTTCGGGGCCTCGTATGGAGCCCCACCGAGGGCCCACATGCGGGCGTTCGCATGCGCCCACCACATGCATTTTGGCACACCCCTCACACGCTTCGTGGCCCCATAGGGAGCCCCACCGCAAGGACCAAATTCAAGCGTTCGCACGTGCGCCCACGCCCATTTTGGCACACCCCTCACACGCTTCGCGGCCTCATAGGGTGCCCCACCGAATGCGGTGCATACAACGGCTGTGCCCACAACTGCATATGTTTGGGTTATTCGCCAGGTTAATGTTTTGTTTGCTTTTGTTTGTTGGCTTGCCTGTTTATTTGCTTGTTCGTGTGTGTGTGTGTGTGTGTGTGTGTGTGTGTGTGTGTGTGTGTGTGCGAGTGTGTGTGTGTGTGTGCGTGTGGTGTGTGTATGTGTATGTGTGCGTGTGGTGTGCGTGTGTGTGTGTGTATGTGTGCGTGTGCGTATGCGTGTGGGTGTGCGTGTGCGTGTGCGTGTGCGTGTGCGTGTGTGTGTGTGCGTGTGTGGGAGAGGGGGGGCGTGTTTCGCCCGATCCCGCACGCTTCGCCCCTCCTATGGATCCCCTCTCTGCAGACAGAGGGTGGTTCGGCCCTGCAGACACAGGGCTATCCGCCCCACGAGGTCATCGCTGGAACCTCGATCTTTCTGCCACTGGGGCCGGGCACGGGAACGGAAAAAGCGCTCTCATGAATTTGCCCGAGAGGGTTCATGGAAACCGTCCGTTCTTGGGAGCCTTTGTATTAAGAGCCTGTCGAGCCATCGCTCGTGGTGGGAGCCTTAGCGTTCGAATATTTCCACGTCACCGTTTGCACTTAGGTTCCTTGGCGTTCAACTCTCGTTACATCACCGCTTGCTCTTGTAAGCCTTGGAGTCAAGACTTTGTTACGTCGCTGTTTACTCTTGGAAACCTTGGCGTTCAAAACCACTGGACGTCACCCGGGCTCTGGGGAACCTTGGCGTTCAAAACCTTAACTCTTACGTCACAATCTCGCCTTGTAAGGGTTTTCCTTGCCCTGGAGCTCTTGGGAGCCTTGGCGTCGAAGCGGTGTCCGTCACTGGGCCGTCTGTGGACGGGAGCAATGACGTCAAAGCTATGTCCGTCTTTGGGACCGTCTTGGGGTCTCTCGAGAGGCTCTTGGAGGAAACTTGGGCGTCTCTTCGGGGTCGTTGGACCGTCTTGGGGGCCTCTTGGGGGCCTCTGGAACCGTCTTGGGCCCTCTTGGGCCCTCTTGGTGTCCTTCTGGGCCGTCTTGGGGGCATCCTTGGCGGGGCCGGTCTGGAGGGGCGGGGGTGGCAGCGGCCCGCCTGACCGCGGCCACGGCTGTCTCCACGGCGGACGCCTTGTGAGGTCCCTCTGGCGCTGCTTAGCGCTCCACGCCCCCCCCCCCTCTCCGCCCTTGCTGGGTAGCACGGACGCCCCCCGCGCGCTTTCGCCAACGTCGCGCTGGCGACCCTTCACACGTGCCGTCCGGCCCTTCCTCGGCGGGGAAGTGGGTGATCCCGCAGAGGGCTCTCCCCACCAAGCCGTAGCGTGCTGGGCTCGGTCGGCCACACCGCCCAAGTCGCCGTCGTAGGTTCCGTAGCTTCGTCGCGGGTGGCTCTTTTCTCCCTGCGCCTGGCCCGGCCTGTCTGTTTGCGGTTGCCTCCCCTCCCCTCGGCCTCGTCTTCCTCCCCCTCCTCTTCCCTTTCCTTCTGCGCCCTGGCTGCTCCGCTTGCGGCTGCTTCCTCTCTTCTCCTCTTCCTTGCCTCCTTCCCCTTTCCTCCTGCTCCGTGCCTGCTGTCTCCGCCCGGCCCCCCTTCCGCCTGCCCGCCCGCCCCGCAGGCCCCAGCCTCCCACCTGCGCGTTCGTCGTCGTCTGCCTGCTTCTCCCCTCCTCTCCCCCTTTCGCTGGGCAGCAAAGCCTTGTACGGGAGCAGCGTAGAGCTTCGTAAGGACACTATTGCGGGACTCCTGAGCCTCCTTTCTGTTTCTTTGTCGTCAGCCTCTGGTCATGGAGCTGCGTCCGCAGCAGCAGGCGCTCAGACACCTGGCTGCGCCCTTTGGGGGCCCCCTTGGCCGTACTGGGGGCATCTTGGGCCATCAGGAGCCCTTTTCGATGCCATGTTGGGCCCTAGGACCCTGGTTGCCCCCTGCCTGCTCCCCCCTCCCCCCGCGTAAAACTCGTGCGATCTTCCATCCATAATCTGTCTCTCCGTCCTCTTGTCCACCCTCGCTTCATCTCTGCCTTCTGTCCCCCATACTTTGTTCCTCCCTCTTGTTTGCTTTTTTCTTTGTTGCTGTCCCTGTCTCTGTCTCGCTCTCTCTCTCTCTCTCTCTCTCTTTCTCTTTCGTTCTCCCTCTCTCTAGCCGACGCCTAGAAGGACGACGTCGCCGTTCTGTGGCACATCGACGAGCAGAACGGCTCCCTCGCCTGCACGCAGCGGTTTCGCTTGCAGGGCCACACGGACTCCGTGATACAGGCGGCGCGCAGCCTCTAGGATGAGGGGGATGCTTTGGAGTCGCAGGACCCAGAGGGCCCCCAACCTCCCAAGTTTCGGATGCAACTCCTGGGAGGGCAAATTCTGAGTTTGCCCTGGTCCGAAATCCGGCTAAATCCCGCTTAAGGCTTGAGCCTCCACCAGGGAGACTTACGGGATCGCTCCTTTTTCTGGATATAGTCCAACAGCCATCTTAGAGAATGTTGATCCTCTAGTTCCATTTTGGTCCTTGAGTTCCCTTCTGCGTTCGGTCCTCTAGTTCCCTTTGGTCCTCTAGTTCCCTTCGGTCCCTGAGTTCCCTTTGGCCCATGAGTTCCAGAACTCCGCGCACCGCTCGAGCCATCCCCAACTTTCGTTACCTCTGGTCATCATCTGGATGCCTGCGGCAGATCTTGCTGGGGTCGGTGCGTCTTCCCCGTTGTTGAGCACAACCCCATGCTCGGACATGCCTTACAACATGCGGTTCAGTCGGGCATGTCCCTCTACAGGAGGGATAGTCAATGATAGTCAAAAATAGTCTGGAGACGATGTTTCGAGTATTTGTTTGACTACTTTCGGGTATGGTTTGCCATTTTTTCCCATCCAAAATCGGCTTGTAAGGGGACACGCCCGACCTAAACATACGGCCTCCTGGGCTGACCAGCGGCCGATGTGCACAGCAAGGTTCTGGGCCCAGGATGAGACTTGGGAGGCCCCGTAGCGACATGCACTTGTCCTCGACCTACTCCCGCTTCCTGCTCTTTGTACCTCCTCCTCCTCCCCCGCCTCCTCATGGGGCAATGTTGTCCTCGCTGTACCTCACTCCCCCCTCATCCTCTTCGTTCTACCTCTTGCTCCTCCTCTTCATGCTCCCTCTGGTGTATAGTTTCCCTCGTTATACCTCTCCCTCGCCCTCCTCGTTCCACTTTACGGTCCTTCCGTTCCTCCTCCAAGTATATACATCCCTCGTATCTTTCCGATGACTTTCGCTTCACTTCTTTTTATTTTTTATGTTCTTTTTGTTTCCGTTCCTCCTCCAAGTATATACATCCCTCGTATCTTTCCGATGACTTTCGCTTCACTCACCCAGTCCTTGATCGAGGGAGCTGCTGTTGATACCCTCACACACCCTGTGCACAACTCCGCATCCTCATGAGGCGCGAGTCTCAAAAGCTCTCCTCCTCCTTTGGTTTTGTTTTCAGCATCCTCCTCCTCCCCTGCATCCTCCCTCACTCCCCCTCCTCCTACTCTCCTCATCCTCCTCCTCCTCATCCTTTCTTTCCTCATCTCCACTCCCCACTCCTTCCTCCTCCTCCTCCTCCTCCTCCTCCTCCTCCTCCTCCTCCTCCTCCTCCTCTAGTGCGTCATGAACCAATCCCTGGTTCTCTCATCTGGATCGCGGCTATTCGGCGTGCATGCCGCACGCGAAAGAACATCTTTAGGTCAAGCACCGTTTATAATGGAGAGTCGTGTTTTCACGCGTGTTTGTTATGCGGTTTCTGCGTAATCGACGGGCGACAGCCGCCTTGAGCCATCATGGAGCGTCTGCCCCACGACGCGACGGGTATCCTACCAGCCGGCATTGCCCTGGTGCACGAGCGGGCAGCCTCTGCGCCTAGGAGGACTACGTAATTCAGCCGACTCCTGCAAGAGGGGATTTGCGACGACGTGCTGGGTTGCTCTGGCGCTCCGAGGAGAATATAGTGGCGGAGGGAGATGCGCGAGGAGGAGGGGGGGCATATCTAGAAAGAGGAGGAGGAGGAGGGGGAGGAGGAGGAGGAGGAGGAGAAGGATGTGGAGAAGGATGTGGTGGTGTCGTGCCGACCAGTCTAAGCACGAGCACACACATCTTTTAAAGGGCGCCTTCTGGGCCATTCGCATGCTCGACGGGGCAATGACCTCGACGTGCACGTGCCTAACATACGGTGGCAACATTGGATCCCCATGGGAACATTTTGGTGTCCCTTAGGGCCCTCCGAAATTGCTGCTGGGCCCCAGGACCGTCTTGGGCCGTTCTCGAAGCCGCCTCTGTTCCCCAACAGTGTTTGCAGCTAGAGTGTCTTACTCGCTATCTATAATGTTAAGTCAGGCCTGTCCCTTACAGGGGGAATGCTCAAAAATGGTGAAATTAGTGTGGGGACGGACGAATTTCCGGTTATTTCTCTGACAAGTTTGGAATATGTTTGGACTATATTTCATGTTTCGTCCAACATCTGCCTGTAGGGGGACATGCCCGACCTAACTCTAGTGAGTTGGTTGGGTCCGCCGAGGTTCTGTGTGATGGCTGCCCGTAGGCGCCTCGTGGGTGCCCCACGCACTGATGACCTTCCATGTGGATGGTCGCGCACCACTTCTGCAACGCTTGCAGTGCTCACATGGCTCTCACGCCTCTCGGCACTTCAGCGTGCGCAGCGCGCGCACGTTTTCGGCGTCAGGCCGACATAGCTGCGTGCGATGAGCAGCAGCAAAAGGAGAAGGACCGGTGTTTTTTTTCTTCCTTCTCTTCTTTGCTTCTTGTGTTGAGTTGTTTGGCCTTTCATCTTTTTTGTTTTTTGCAGCATGAGGATGAGAGCTCATAGGGACCAACGCGGTCGGGAAAGAAGATGGGAATGTGCAGGACGGGGGGGAGGAGGGTGGAGGAGGAAGAGGAGGAGCAATGACGTAAGACGGCAGAGGCTGCGGATGAGGCATATGATAGCAGTGATGTTTGATGTGTGGTTTGTTGTGATTGATGTGATTGATGATTTTGATTTATGCTTTTAGTACGTTGAGATGATGATGGTGTGATGTGTGTGATGGTGTTGTGATGTTTAGATGATTGCTGCTGATGATGATGCTGCTGCTGATGATGATGAGTATGGTGATGATGATGATGATGATGATGATGATGATGATGATGATGATGATGATGATGATGATGATGATGATGATGATGATGATGAGTACGATGATGACTATTATGATGATATGGTGATGCTGAGAAGGAGGATGAGGATGCGGATACGGATGAGGATGAGGATGATGAGGAGGAGGATGAGGATGACGGTAAGGATGAGGATGATGATGCGGATGAGGACGAGGATGCGGATGATGATGATGATGATGATGATGAGGAGGATGAAGACGATGAGGAGAATAAGGGGAATCACGATGATGATCATGCTGATGCTGCTGATGATGCCGGTGACGGTGATGGTGATGGCGATGGTGATGGTGGTGATGATGATGAGGATGATGAGGATGATGATGATGCTGATGAGGATGCTGATCATGCTGATGATGGTGATGATGATGATTATGATGATGATGATGATGATGATGATGATGATGATGATGATGATGGTGATGGTGACGGTGACGGTGATGGTGATGGTGATGGTGATGGTGGTGATGATAATGATGAGGATGAGGATGAGGATGAGGATGATGATGCTGAGGATGATGATAATCATGCTGCTGATGATGATGGTGACGACGATAATGAAGATGATGATGACGTGATGGTGGTGATGGGTACGATGATGAAAATGATGATGGTGATAATGATGAGGAGGATGAGGATGCGGATGCGGTAGACCGTCCTCTAAGTTCCCATTGCGAGGATTTACTATGTAGAGGCATTGTTTTTTATGATTGAGGGCATCTAGATGAGGCAAGCCGCATTAGGAGTATTTAGTACAATTAGTTTGTGTTTATGCTTTGTTGTCTTGAATGGTATGCGGGTACATTAAAATCTCTTACCAAGTATGTAAACTAAATAGTATTATTTTAACAATTTTTTTTCCTCAGATAAATCATACGTCTCAACGCGATAAACCATGAATTGTGTCCTTTAGTGTTTGTTGTGTTGAGGATGATGAGGAGGAGGATGAGGATGACGGTAAGGATGAGGATGATGATGCGGATGAGGACGATGATGCGGATGATGATGAGGATGAGGAGGATGAGGAGGATAAGGGGAATCACGATGATGATGATCATGATGATGTTGCTGATGATGGTGAGGATGTTTTTTTTGATGATGATGGTGATGGTGATGATGATGACGATGATGATGATGATGAGGAGGAGGAGGAGGAAGCTTACAATTCATGAGGAGGTGGCGGACAGGATAAGGAGGAGGACGAGGAAGAAGAGGCAGGGGGTCGAGGAGACGGGCAAAGGCGCAATGCTTGAATGAGGAGGTGGAGGATGAGGGCATTTGTGTCCGACTGGTGTGCTCACTGTGTTTCACCTGTGCGGCTGTCAGCAGCCCGATCATATACACGGGCGGGTGGAAGCGAGCATAATCTGTGGCGAGTCCGCCTCCTCCTCGTCCTCTCATCCTTCTTATTTTCCTCTTCCTCCGCACATGTTTATTCTATGGAGTAGGACGAGTGTGTTTTGCGACGAACCCTCTTCGTTTTTTCCCCATGTTGCGTAGAGCGGCACGTTTTCACAGTCGCATGACGCGTGTGTGTGTGTGTGTTTGTGTGTGAGTGTGTGTGTGTGTGTTTGTGTGTGTGTGCGTGTACGGGTTTGCGGGTGTGCGGGTGTGCGTGTGTGCGTGTGTGTGTGTGTGTGTTTGTGTGTGTGTGTGTGTGCGTGCGTGTGCGTGTGTGTGTGTGTGCGTGTGTGTGTGTGTGTGTTGGTGTGTGGTGTGCGGATAGTGTGTTATGTGTGTGTGTGTTGGTGTGTGAGTGGTATTGTATGTATTTCTTATCGGTTGTGAGTGTACGGGGTTCTCATTGTTGTTGAGGCGTGTGAGGGGTTGTTGCGTGTGTGTGTGTTGTGTGTGTAGTGGTGTAGTGTGCGTGTGCGTGTGTGTGTGTGTGTGTGTGTCGTTGTTGCGTTGTGTGTTGTGTGGCGTACGGTGTGTGTGTGTTGTGTGCGTGTGTGGATTCCCGCGTCTTCTCGCAGCAGCGTGAGCCGGGCCAGTGCGCGCGCTTCTCGACCTGTACTACGCGGTGCGCTGCCGCGCGCGTGGCCGCGACGCCACCAAAAAGTTGGTGCGTGTGTGTTAGTGTGCGTGTTGTGTGTGTGTGTGTGTGTGTGTGTGTGTGTGTGTGTGTGTGTGTGTGTGTGTGTGTGTGTGTGTGTGTGTGTGTGTGTGTGTGTGTGTGTGTGTGTGTGTGTGTGTGTGTGTGTGTGTGTGTGTGTGTGTGTGTGTGTGTGTGTGGGGGGGGTTGTGCAAGTGTGTGATGCCAGTGATGCTTGAGACGTCGGCGACGCAAAGTAACACATCGAATGCGTGCAGGTGGCGTTCAGCAACGACGGGCAGTACGTCGCGACGGGCTCATACGACGGGACCGTGCGCATATGGACTCCGCAGGACGGGGCCCTGGTGCACGCGCTGGACGGCCCGTCCAAGGAGGTGGAGTGGATATCTTGGCATCCGAAGGTGGCGTTTTCATTCCCACCCCTGTGTGAAACGACGCATATCGGCGGCGAGCGAGAGGGGGAAGTGAGAAGGAGAAGGCCTTCTCAGAAGGCGGCGGGACTGCTCAGAAGCACTCCGGATTTGAAGGCTTAGAAAAAACTTGTCAGAAGGCCGGGGACTTCTGAGCTTTCTGAGAAGGCCTTCTCCTTCTCACTTCTCCCCCGCGCGCGCTGCCGACCTGTGTGAAACGACGCAGAGCCATCGACAAGTTCTTCCATCATCCGTGGGCGCAGCACGGAACTGCAAGCCGTTGCCCGAGGCCGCTTGCAGTGTTGCTTTTGACAGTGGTTAGTTAGGCGTTCGATCAGATGGCGTAGCCAGTCCAGGCCCGCTCCAGTCAAATACCGTGGATGCAGAAAATTAACGCGCAACCCTTTCATAACATTGGAATTCTACCATTCAGAGGCCGCGAGCGCCAAGCTTGGCACGATTGCCGCTGAAAATGCAAAACATAAGCGCGACACCTCTTTCCCGATTTTTCAACGAGCGGTCTTCGGTGCCTGGGCTGTGGTCCAACTCATTGAAAGCGGGAACTCCAACGTTACGGTGTAGTTTCGCGTTAATTGTTTCCATCCACGGTAGCTCAGATTCGCTTCGCTCACCTGTGTCTGACCTTGAGCTTCAGATTGGCTGTAGCTCATCGTCGAAGCGAATTAGGAAAAGGAGGAGTATGGCGAGGCAGAAGAGAATATATAGATAACCGTATTTATTACATAATGCTAAGCAGGGTGAGACGAAAATAGTGGAATTTTGTGTGCTGTGTGGAGCTCGGGTGGCTGTCAGGGGCCTGGTGAGGGCCTCGGGGCTGCTTCAGGGACATGCTTTCGGCGGCTGGATGGGTGCGAGGTCCTCTTTATGAGTTCTCGGACTGTCTGGAAGGGGTCCTTCAGGCCTCTTGTAATCATCTTGGGCTGCCCCAGAGCCGTCTTGGGCCGGTCTGGGGCCGTCATGTTTTTTGTGGGCTGTGCTGGGTACGTCTTGGGGCCCTCCAGGGAGTCCAACTCGCCACATGGGGACCATCTGAGACGGTCTGAGACCGGTTGCAAGCCTTCGAGGAATCACCTTGGACGATCATGAGTGGCAACGCAACATACGGTCGGGAATTTGTGGATAGCGTGTCGCTCCGCCAGTTCTGGCCCACCACATTGCGGCGCGATACGCTATCCACTTCCTGGACCCGAGGCGTCAACGTCTTGAGCCTTTCCGAGCCCCCTGCACCGCGGAGCGGAGCGTCCGCTCGCAGGGCATAGCGTGTCGCCGCCGCGGCGACACGCCAAGCAACAGTTCCCCACCCTGTCCTGGGCGAACACGGGTGGCAACGCAACATATAGCAAACCAGCATTTATTTTTTTTCCGTCGTTGTTGAGTGCGGCTTCCCTGCGAGAGCCGCCCAAGGATCGTCAGCGAGACTCCTACAGCGCTTCTTGAGGCATCATGAGAAAATTCGGGCGGCGCGAGCTCATCCTGACGCAATGATTGAGGCGTTGGAAGGGTCGGAGGAGCTTCCTCGGGGGATCGTGTCCACCCGTATCCCTTCGCGGCCCTCGTGCACTCTCATACCCCCAGGCCGCGTTCAAATTCTGCAATGCCCGTCCTGTGGGGGAGTTGTGGATTCAGAGCCGTCTCAAGAGTCTGCCAGGATGCTCTTCGGAGCGTCTCCGGAAGCCCGTCTGAAGCATTTCAGGCGGGCTCGACGGAGCATCCTTCGGTGTGGGTGCAGCTCAAGAACAAACAAAGAGACTTACTAGAGCTTCCCAAGAGCCTCCCATGAATACTTTTTACATATCCTCTCAAGAGCTGTCCAGGAGTGCCCTTCCGAGCAGATCTAGAGCCTCTCATGAGCTCCTTTGGATCCTGTAAAGAGCACCTCGAAGGTCTCGCCCGGAGGGCCCTTTGGATTCGGAGCCTTCTAGAAGCCTTCTAGAAGCCTTTCATGAATCCCGGCCGAGCCTTCCAGGAGCCTCTCCTATCTAGAGCCTCTTAGGTGCTCCTTCAGAGCCTCTCAAGAGCTACTCACAGACATTTCGCAGCCTCATCATAGCCTCGCTGGCTCTTCAACCTCACACGACATGAAATGACATGACAGGACTGAACAGGACGGAAGAAGGTACAACAATTCAGGGCAACGCCAGACAGGACAAGAAGGGAAAAGACATGACTTCACCAGACACGGCATTAGATGACGATTTAATATGGAATGCGATAAGCGTGTCAACGATTGTAGAATTTGAGTGCCCATTCCCAAAGCGCCACATGCTCTTCCTTTCCGGCACGATCTGTCCCGACCTTGACCCTCTCGTACGTTTGCGACGCCAGAGGGCAGATCGCGGATAATGGTGTGTATATAGACGCATGTGTACATATGTAATGGAGAGCGGGCGTTCGTTCATAGTGCATGAGCCGCCTCAAGTCAAGAAAGGCAAGGGACGAAAAACAGTATAACATAGATTTGTTTCGTTTGTTTGTGCCAGGCCTCATTCGAGACACATCTCTGACTGGGTTTTGCGTTGCGTGTCGGCCATGCCGACGTCTGCCCAATTCGCCCCCGACCCGCGTGGAACCCGAGAGGCGCCAGGCGGTGCTGGCCTTTGACCAGCGGGAACGGGCGGGCGCGCGAGTGCCCGCCCAGCTTTGTCGGCGACCCCCGAGGGGCCGATCGGGCAGGGCCCCCTGGGGCCGACCGACACCCCGAAATCTTTCTTTGAAGGTTTTGCGCGACTGCTGCGATTTCTCGGGATTGAACTTTTTATGGCCCCAACGGGGCCTGCTGTGTTTCTTCGAGCCCTGTCGCGATTGAGGGGTATAAGCTTTTTGGAAGGATTTTTCGTGGTCGTCGATCAGGCGCCCGCGCCCTTGGCGGCCGTTGCGAACGCTCGGAGGCCATCATTCGGGAGGTGGCGAGAGACATTTTCGATTCTGCTTGCGGACCTGCAGAGCACCGCCCCGAGGGGGCCATCGACGGCGCTGACCAGCCAGCGGAGCCGCTGGCTGCGAGGCGAGACTTCCACCAACGTTGGCACTGGAAGGCCCCGAGGAGGGGGACCACGCTACGCAAAAAATACGGAAAGCTTATGTTATACTCTTTGGTTGTCTGCGGGGTTCCCGAGGTCGGCTACTCTTGTCGATAGTCTTCGAGTTATAGCGAGGTCTTTGACTCTAGCCTACAGGCTTGGGCAGACCTCAGGGCAACTTCGCTTCTGTTTCCCCCTTCGGCGCCCTTTTTCTGCCCCCTCTGCGCAGCGAAGCTGTGCCCGACCTGCCCCCGCAGAGCGTGTTGCGGCTTTGCATGCAGAGAGAGCGCTGCCAGGGGCACGCGATCCTCGCCGGCTCCACGGACACCATGGCGTGGATGTGGTGGGCGCCCACAGGCCTCCGCGGCGGGGCATTCAGAACTCCAAGGGGGAGGAGGAGGAGGAGGAGGAGGAGGAGGAGGAGGAGGAGGAGGAGGAGGAGGAGGAGGAGAAGGAGGAGGAGGAGGAGGAGGAGGAGCAGGAGCAGGAGGAGGAGGAGTAGGAGGAGGGTATGCGTCCGCCCAGGACGCAACAAGCACCGCTCTTCATGTCTGATCAACGTCAAAAAAGGAGGAGGAAGAGGAAGGAGGCTTTAGCAGTGTAGGGGGGAGTCGCCGAGCCCTCCGCGGCTTCTGGGGCCCGCCTGGGATCTCGGGGCTTCTTTGTGCCCCAGTGCATGCTGCCCCTTCTCGGGGTTGGCGGGTGAACCTCTCGGAGGCGGCGGGGGCGGGCGCGTACAAACAGATGTCCCAAAGCCAGAAGATCTTGGACTCGCTCGGACTTGTGTATTTTTTCTCGGCCAGGATCATCGAGGAGCATCTTCGATCATGTTGCGAAACAAGAAAAAAAACACGAAACCGAACAATGCACTGGGAATGGACGTCCGAGCGACGGCAAGAGATTTGAACTTCTAGACTGGAGGTTAATCATATTTTCCTGGGGATGAGCACATCAACGTCTGAATGTTTCGAGATCTCGGGGCAGATCGGGCTCGAGGAGCTTCGGCAGAAGCCACCCCCGACATCTGCACACCTCCCCACGACCTTCAATTCGGATTGCCACCATGGTACAGAAGTGACCGCCACAAGCAGCAATTGGTGGCAACGTAAAGACGGGTCACGGCGAACTTGGGAAATATTCCAGGTGTCCACGGGTCCAGTGGCTCGCGATATTCGGCATTGGCCGTATAAGCTTTGCTGGCGCTTCATTCAAGTAAAAAATACACGCGAACCGCAAGTGCAGTTCTTGAGCCCCAGATTGTCGTGGTCTGGACTGCGCTCATTCTTTATGAACGGCGGAAATTCAACGTTATGATTTGGTCTCGTGGCGGTTTTTGTCACAGGTGGCTTTTGGTGCCAAGTTCCGAGATTGCCCATTGCAGGTCGGCTTGTGTCGCGTTCTGGGATTGCCTGGCGAGTCTCTGTCGTCGTGCACAGTGGGCTGTATCACCTCAAGCATCTAGCGTTCGATGGTTTGACGTGGAGACGAGAAATGGTCTCGCGTTAGTTTCTTACATCCACGGTAGCCCGGGCCTCGGAGCGCTCGGGTGCCGCCCGGCCCCGCGCTTGCCTTTCGGCCTGCTGCCCCCGCTGCCCGTCTGCTGTCTGCGCCGCCCGGAGCTGCTCCGCAAGGGGCCTCAAGATCGGAGGCGACGACAGGGGCGAACAGCCCAGGCGCGGGCATGACAGTCGAAACCGGTGGTAAGGATGGGTAACCTTCCCAAGGGTGCCCATCCTTGACTACTTTCGCTGGCTCGCCGTGCTGGAAAAAGCTTCAGCACGGGCGTCCAAGGGGCCTGCATCCTCGTCGCGCATCCTTGTGCCTGAAAAGATTCCACTCGGGCGTCCAAGGGGCTCGCACCCTTGTCGCGCATCTTTATGCTTGAGAAGCTTCAACACGGGCGCCCAAGGGGCTTGCACCCTTGTCGCGCATCCTTGCCATCAGCTTTGACTGTGCACGTGTCGGGCGTTGCTAGAGAAGCCCAGGCGCGGCACTCCTCCGGCCCCCTCTCTCCCCTCGCGCTTCGTCCTCTCGTGCCCCAAACTCGCACTGGCGCGCCCCGCCGCCGCTCCGACCGCCGTCTGATCCCCTGCGGCCGTTGGCTAAAAGATGTTGCCAGGAGTGCCCCACGGCCCGAGGTGCGCCCAGGATTTCCGAGGAGGCCCCCAAGGCCTCCAGGGCACGCCTCACGAGGCCCAGGAGGCCCAGGGGCTCCAAAACGGAGCGAAAAGCTGGAGGTACCTTGGGCCAGGGGCACCTTGAGCAACCCCCGAACGTGGTTGCCGGGGAGCCTCGCCGAAGACATGGACCATCGGCACCCTTGGATACATGTATTGCTCGCCCCCGGGCTATACGCCCTCGCCAGCGCCTCCGATCAGAGTGCTTCCGTCGAAGGAAGGGCTTCGCAGGAAGTGTTCGGGAACCACTCGGCAGGACCTCCTAGGCCTCCCAGGTGGGGTCCGAGCTTGGATACATGTATTGCTCGCCCCCGGGCTATTCGCCCCCGTCAGCGCCTCCGACAAGAGTACTTCCGTCGAAGGAAAGACTTTGCAGGAAGTGGTGTGCCAGGGAAGCTCTCGGCAGGACCTCCTAGGCCTCCCAGATGGGGTCCGAGCAGTTGGGGTCGGAGGATCGCGCCGCATCGCCGATGCATCGGCGATCTGGTGCGATTCTACGACCTCGTCTACCTGGACCCATCGAGGAGGCCTCTAATGACTCCCCTTCGCCCTCGGCTCTGGTATTGCCAGAGAAGTGGGCTGGACAAAAATTGAGTCCAGCATCCCGAACTCAATACCTGCCAATTCAGGCCAGGGGGTGGAGGGGGGAATTCGGTTCTTTCTAGTTAGCTCGGCCGTCGTTGTTGCAGAGCTTTTTACCTAACAGCGAAGCCTGATAGGTTTCCAGTGGGGTCAATAGATAGCATTTTGACACCCCAGGGGGGTCTGGGCGGGATCCGGACGGGATCCGGACGGGAATCCGGGGATTCCTTTTTTAGCCAACAGTAACGCACTTCGTGGTCTTCGATTTCCCAGAACTCCATTCCTGGGCATGATTTTGAATGCCGGGAGCCAACTGTAGGCCACTTCGTGTTCTTCGAGTTCCCAGAACTCCATTCCTGGGCATGATTTTGAATGCCTGGAGCCAACTGTAGGCCACTTCGTGTTCTTCGTGTTCCCAGAACTCCATTCCTGGGCATGATTTTGAATGCCCGGAGCCAACTGTAGGCCACTTCGTGGTCTTCGAGTTCCCAGAACTCCATTCTTGGGCATGATTTGAATGCCCGGAGCCAATTGTAGGCCACTTCGTGTTCTTCGTGTTCCCAGAACTCCATTTCCTGGGCCACATTTTGAATGCTGAGGCAGGCTGATGTCCTGAGGCAGGTGAGCTGAGGAGGCTGATGGCCCAGGCTGAGGCAGCAGGCTGAGGCTGAGGGAGCTGAGGCTGAGGCTGAGGCTGAGGCAGGCTGATGCTGAGGGCTGAGGCCGAGGCTGATGCAGGCTGATGCAGGCTGAGGCTGAGGCAGGCTGAGGCTGAGGCCGAGGCTGAAGGCAGACTGAGGCTGAGGCTGAAGCAGGCTGAGGCTGAGGCAGGCTGAGGCTGAGGCTGAGGCTGAGGCAGGCTGATGCTGAGGCTGAGGCTGAGGCTGAGGCTGAGGCTGATGCAGGGACTGAGGCTGAGGCAGCCTGAGGCTGAGGCTGAGGCTGAGGCTGAAGGCAGACTGAGGCTGAGGCTGAAGCAGGCTGAGGCTGAGGCTGAGGCAGGCTGAGGCTGAGGCTGAGGCAGGCTGAGGCTGAGGCAGGCTGAGGCTGAGGCTGAGGCTGTGCAGGCTGAGGCTGAGGCAGGCTGAGGCTGAGGCCGAGGCTGAAGGCAGACTGAGGCTGAGGCTGAGAGGCAGGCTGAGGCTGAGGCTGAGGCAGGCTGAGGCTGAGGCAGGCTGAGGCTGAGGCCGAGGCTGAAGGCAGCCTGAGGCTGAAGCAGGCTGAGGCTGGAGGCAGGCTGAGGCTGAGGCTGAGGCAGGCTGAGGCTGAGGCTGAGGCTGCAGGCTGAGGCTGAGGCAGGCTGAGGCTGAGGCTGAGGCTGCAGGCTGAGGCTGAGGCTGAGGCAGGCTGAGGCTGAGGCGCAGGCTGATGCTGATGAGGGCTGAGGCTGAGGCAGAGCTGAGGCTATGAGCAGGCTGAGGCTGGAGGCTGAGGCTGAGGCTAGGCTGAGGCAGGCTGAGGCTGATGCAGGCCGAGGCTGAAGGCTGAAGGCAGACTGAGGCTGAGGCTGAAGCAGGCTGAGGCTGAGGCTGAGGCAGGCTGAGGCTGAGGCTGAGGCTGAGGCAGGCTGATGCTGAGGCAGGCTGAGGCTGAGGCTGAGGCTGGTGCAGGCTGAGGCTGAGGCAGGCTGAGGCCGAGGCCGACGGCAGACTGAGGCCGAGGCTGAGGCTGAGGCTGAGGCAGAGGCAGGCTGAGGCTGAGGCTGAGGCAGGCTGAGGCTGAGGCAGGCTGAGGCTGAGGCTGATGCAGGCTGAGGCTGAGGCTGAGGCAGGCTGAGGCTGAGGCCGAGGCTGAAGGCAGACTGATGCTGAGGCTGAAGCAGGCTGAGGCTGAGGCTGAGGCTGAGGCAGGCTGAGGCTGAGGCTGTGACTGCGACTGCCGTTGCCACTGCGACTCTCATCGCGAATGCGACTACGATTGCGAGAACAGCAGAATTCTACAACTGGATTATCATCTGATTCTTAAGGGGAATGCTTCCAGATATGCTCCTACACGTCGCTGTTAGGTTGCTTTGTCGGGATAATTTTACAACCGTTCCAAGATGGCCCCGAGAGGCCAAAGATATGGATTTCCTCTCTTGGGTTTTGAAGGCCTTTCGCTTTCTCGCCTTTGCGGGCTGCCAGCCCAAGAGGCCCCAAAGGTTGCCCCAGGATGGCCACAAGCCGTCGCCTCTCGGCCAGGGAAGCTGATGCAGATCTTCGCCGGGCACGCGCAGGGCGTGACCTGTGGCTGCTGGCCCATGGGCGGCAAGCTGGTCTGCACGGCCTCGGAGGACCGCGCCATCATAGTGTGGAACCCGCGGACGGGGTCTCCCCAGCACCACGCCAAGCAGGCGCCGCGAGGGAAGGAGGGATCTCCGAGGGACAGCGGTGGAGTGGATTGGGACCCATCACGACGTGCCAGAAGGCGGGAGAAGGAGGAGAAGAAGGAGGAGGAGGAGGAGGAGGAGGAGGAGGAAGCCGCGGGCCCGAATCGTTAGGGCTGCGGGCAGCGCGGCAGCTGCAGCGACCAGGCGGCCGCCCGCGACTCGAGATCAATCCGATCGCACCGATCGAGGCCATCATTCGTGGCTCGTGCGTCTTCTCATGTTTCTCGGGTTCCTTCTCATTCGTTTCTCGCTCTCCTGGGCCGTCTTGAGGCCATCTTGGGCTGTCCCGCTGCTGGGCCGTCTCGGGGTCCTCTTGGACTCTCTGGTGGGGACCTCTAGGGACCATCTTGGCTTCTCTTCGGACCACAATGAGAAGGGGAAGGACTGGTTGGATGAGGCAGAGGAGCAGCAGCAGCAGCAGCAGCCGGAGGCAAAAGACCAGGAAAACGAGGGACAGAAGCACGAGGGATGAGTGAGGAGAGGACATCGTTGGGAGCTTTGATGGCCCCTCGGCCCCTCTCCTCGCAGCATCTTTCGATCCTGGCCCGCCTGTCTGCTGCTCCTCTCACTTCCCGTTTCTTGTCGCCCCCCTCCCCCTCTGCTGACCTCACCCACTCGTCTTTCCGCCCTTCACATCCTGTTCCCGATCTCACTGCCGCACCCCATCCCTCCTCTTCCCCCTGACCTCACCTCCTCCCTTCTATTTCCGCCCACTTCGCGATGCCGTCGTTGTGTCGTAGCGTCGCGGTTGTGTCGTGATGTCGTGATTGTGCGATGTTGCAGTGTCGTGTTAATGTTCTGATGTGCTGGTGACGCGGTAGCGATACGGTACCCGAAGCGCTCGTGAGGCAAACGTTGAGCACTTGTGCGGTGCATAGGGAGAACACGTACGAAGCAGTGTCGGTATAGCACACGCATGATGTCAAACTCTCAGTTGGAGTGCGTGGGACGTGTAAGACGTTGTTGTGAGGCAATGCTGAGACATTCCGCGGTCAATCGACTTCGTTCGCCCAGGGCACCCCACCCGATGTTTTCTCTTGGCCGAAAGACGGTCGCACGGGTATTGAGGTGCTGTGTTCCAGGGGTTTGCCCAAGGAGTTGGCTTAGCAGCGCTTGGCAGCTTGGCCGCAGACTGGTCCTGAGGTTATTTTACCCTTGGCTTGGGAGCCACGGGCTCCGTGAGGTGCACGAGGGCGCCATCGTGAGCATCTGCGCGCACCCCGAGGGGCCCGTAGTGGTCACCGGCAGCGAGGACGGCTCGTGCAAGGTAACGCATTGCCGAACGCACTGCCGGCCTCTGGGGGGGTACGGGGAGGAGGGAGGAGGTGCCGAATAGGACGCATTTGCTCGTGCAAGCGGCGGCTCGACGGCCGCCATGCCCTTCTCCGTCTCACGCTGCGTCGCAGCTGTGTTGTGGAGATATGCAGTGTTCGAGGATGGGATCGCCATTGCCGCGAAAACCCAAAGGTCCGACGCTCCAACAAAAAGTTAGAGCGGCGGGATTTTGGCAGTTTTCGGCCTCCAGGGGCCCTCACTGGCCCTCGAGAGCGTCAAAAAACGACTCAGGACGAAAAAAACAGCCCCAGGGAAGTGGTCCAGACCCCCGGGGCCCACGCATCGGAAAAATTGGAGAAGCCGCATGTCTGGGAATACGGCACATGAGGGGGCGCTGCGTGCTGCCGGTAGCTACGCTTGAGAAGGGGACAGACTTTGGCGCATGCCTTCCCACCTGACGGACGTAGGCGTTATCGCAGTTGCTATAGGCAGTGGGCACCATCTGTGCGCGCGCGGTCGGCAATGCGCGCGCTGTAGGCATGTGGCCAACATGCCAAGCTCGAAGGGCGATGGCGATGGGCGAGAGCAAACAGCGCTTCGTCAGTACAAGTGTGGGGAACAATGCGAATCGCACAGCGACAACCCATCTGCCAAAGATGCGCAGGCATAGAGGTACAGACACGCGTGCAGGGGTGTTTGCGGACAGAGGAGGCCACTGAGCGGCCCATGAGCGTGGAGAGCTACTGCAGAAGTAACGCAGCTCTTCCTCTTTCTCTTGTTCCTGGAGGCTGCCGATCCCGGAAGCCCTGCTCCTGCTCCTCCTCCTCCTCCTCCTCCTCTTCCTCCTCCTCCTCCTCCTCCATGCTCCTCCTCCTCCTCCTCCTCCTCCTCCTCCTCCTCCTCCTCCTCCTCCTCCATCCTCCTCCTCCTCCTCCTCCTCCTCCTTCTCCACCTTCTCCTCCTCTGCGACGCTTGCACCATTTGTTGCGGCTGCTCGTAGTCTGAGAGTACCAAGTCTGTGCCGAGCCACTGCACGCGGGCCGCCCTCGGGCATCGGGCCGTCGGAGTCCAGCCCGGGAGGGCCCGTGCGAGGGCTCGGCAGCACCGCCTCGGATGGGTCCCCGCGGGGATGTGCCTCGGGGGCTGTCGCAGCTCCGAGGCGCGCACGGTGATGGCACTGCGTGAGGTGGGGCTTGCAGCTGCAGTCGTTCGGAAGCCAATATTGTTTTGTGTTGCTGAAGTGTGCTGTTACCGGCTTGAAGAGGCTGGCCCACCCCCACGTGCTTGGGACTGAAAGGGGAAGGCTGGCCCAGCGGTTGCATAAGATTTGGCCTGACAGTTCGCCCAGGTATACATTTTGAAATATTTCGGCCATGGTCCGTATTGTAGAGAAACGCCAATGGTGTGTACAATGCCATGGGGGTCGGATGCCAGGTCGGGACCGTCCCTGTCCATCGTTATCTTCTTCCCTGCAAGCATGTGGTTTGTTGTGACTCTTTTTTCTCTATCTCTCTCTCTACCTCTCTATATTTCTCTTGTGTTCTGTGTTTTTAATCTATGGGTCTCTCTCACTCGATAGCTGCACCCGCGAGGCGACGCACATCGAGACAGGCAACACCCTGGCAAACCTCGTCGGGCACACGGAGTCTGTGGAGGCGGTCGGCTTTAGCAACCCTTCGCAGGGCGCCATCCTGCTGCTGGCTAGCGCGAGTATGGATGGCAAGGTCTGGACTGCATTGCTCCTCCTGCTTCTCATGCTCCTGCTTTTTCTTTCACCCTACTATTGCCTGCTGCACAGCTCCTTCTCCCCCTTCTCCTGCTCCTGCTCCTGCTCCTCCTATCTTTTCCTTTTCGTTATCATCCCTCCTGCGCCTCTTTCTCCTCTGCGGTCTTCTGACCTCCTCCTCCTCCTTCCCTCGTCCCCCGCCTCCTCCTCCTCCGCCTCTTCCTCCTCCTTTCCTCCTCCTCCTCCTCCTTTCCTCCTCCTCCTTTCCTCCTCCTCCTCCTTCTCCTCCTCCTCCTTTTCTCATCCTCGTCCTCCTCCTCCTCCTCCTCCTTCTCTTCCATTCCTCTTCCTTATAACTAATTTCTCCCAGTCGCACCTCGAGGCCGGCCGAAAATGCGGGCCCGGCGATCCGCTTGAGACTTCCTTACCTTTGCGGGTCCTGAAGCTTAAACATTGGGAACGGTTTTACGGATTGAGGGCGAGCCGCCTCTAAAATGTGGTTCTCGTCTTAGCGCCGTGCACATTCGTTTCAAAGATTTGCACATGTTTCACGGGTTGAGGGCAGGCCATTTTCAAAATGTGGCTCTCGCCATATTGCCACGCACGTTCGTTTTACCATTTGCAAGAGCTTCGTGGATTAAGGGCGGTTCCTTTTTAAAATGTGGTTCTCGCTTGAGCGCCGTGCACATTCGCCATAAAAGTTCGCAGCAGCTTCATAGATGGAGGGCGGATGGTCTTCAAATATGATTATCGCCTTAGCGTCGCGCATATTCGTTTTAAAGATCTGCAGCCAGCTCAAATATGGAGGGCGGTTCCTTTTCAAAATGTGGCTCACGATTTAGCGCCGCGCACATTAATTTTGGAAATTGCAGGAGTTTCACGGACTCGCATGGACCACGTACCAGAAACAACGTTCTGGACGAATTTCGGTTTGTCAGGGTGCAAAAGTTACGTTGGTTCTCTGTGTTGAAGTCCCAGGAATGGTGTACTGGCACGATTCAGGATCGTCAAGACGCGACAGTCAGGTTGGTTCGTTGCGTTGGAGTCCCGAGAATGGTGTTTTGGCACGCTTCAGGACCTTCAAACGGTTGTCTCCCAACGTGGCAATTCCTTCAGTGGAATTGAAACCTTCTAGGGGCTTATACAGAGGGAGCTTGGAGGGAGGGCTTATTCCAACATCGTTGGTGAGTCTTGGGTTTGCACTGGTCCTCCTCTTCCTTCTCGGCGGATCCCATTCGTCGGAAGCTCGAGAGGCCAGTATCAGGCCGACCGTGATACGGACCCCTTCCTGGTCCTCCTCGGGTTCTGTGCGATCCATCATCAAACCAGGAGCGTGTTTACGTCAGAGAGGTCTTGACAAGGGCCAGCGACCCGGCAGCGACCCGGCACCCGGCACCCGGCACCCGGCACCCGGCACCCGGCACCCGGCACCCGGCACCCGGCACCCGGCACCCGGCACCCGGCTCCCGGCACCCGGCACCCGGCGACCCGGCGACCCGGCACCCGGCACCCGGCACCCGGCACCCGGCACCCGGCGACCCGGCGACCCGGCACCCGGCACCCGGCACCCGGCACCCGGCACCCGGCACCCGGCACCCGGCACCCGCACCCGGGCACCCGGCACCCGGGCACCCGGCACCCGGCACCCGGCACCCGGCGACCCGGCACCCGGCACCCGGCACCCGGCACCTGGCACCCGGCACCCGGCACCCGGCACCCGGCGACCCGGCGACCCGGCACCCGCGGCCACCCGGCACCCGGCACCCGGCACCCGGCACCCGGCACCCGGCGACCCGGCACCCGGCGACCCGGCGACCCGGCACCCGGCACTCGGCGACCGGCACCCAGCCCGGCACCCGGCGACCCGGCACCCGGCACCCGGCCGGGGACCCGGCACCTGGCACCCGGCACCCACCCGCGACCCGGCACCCGCCCGGCACCCGCCCGGCGACCCGGCACCCCGGGCACCCCGGCACCCCCGCCCCGCACCGGCCCGGCACCGGCACCCGGCACCGGCGACCCGGCGCACCGGGCACCCGGCACCCGGCACCCGGCACCCGGCCCGGCACCCGCACCACCCGGCCCGGCCCCCGGCCCCCGCCCCCGGCCCCCAGCCCCCGGCCCGCCCCGGCCCCGGCACCCGGCACCCGGCACGGCACCGGCACCCGGCACCCGGCACCCCGGCGACCCGGCACCCGGCACCCGGCACCCGGCGACCCGGCACCCAGCACCCGGCATCCGGCACCCGGCACCCGGCATCCAGCACCCAGCACTCGGCACTTGCTGGCCACCCGGCACCTGGCACCCGGCACCCGGCACCCGGCGACCTGGCGACCCGGCACCCGGCACCCGGCACCCGGCAGCCACCCGGCACCCGGCACCCGGCACCTGGCACCCGGCACCCGGCGACCCGGCAACCGGCCCCCCGCACCCGGCACCCGGCACCCGGCGACGTACCCGGCACCCGGCACCCGGCACCCGGCACCGGGCACCCGGCACCCGGCACCCGGCACCCGGCACCCGGCCCCCGGCCCCCGGCCCCCGGGCCCCCGGCACCTGGCACCGACCCGGCACCCGGCACCCGGCACCCGGCACCCGGCGACCCGGACCCGGCACCCGGCACCCGGCACCCGGCACCCGGCACCCGGCACCCGGCACCCGGCACCCGGCACCCGGCACCCGGCACCCGGCACCCGGCACCCGGCACCCAACACTCGGCACCTGCTGGCCACCCGGCACCCGGCACCCGGCGACCCGGCGTCTTGGCAGCGACCCGGCACCCGGCACCCGGCGACCCGGCACCCAGCACCCGCGCGGCATCCGCGGCACCCGGCGACCCGGCACCCGGCACCCGGCACCCGGCACCCAGCACCCGGCACCTGGCGACCCGGCGACCCGGCGACCCGGCGACCCGGCACCCGGCACCCAGCACCCGGCGAGGCACCCGGCACCTGGCACCCGGCATTCTCGGCTTGTCTTGTGGCCATCTTGGACCGTTTTGCGGCCATCTTGGGCCGTCTTCGGGCTGCCGCGTGCTCACGCGCGCTTCCCCACGGCACTCGCCGCGCGTCTGGGGAGCACTTCGCCTTTGGGCCCCCGCCAGCCCCAGCGGCATTCCCTAGAAGCTGCGCGGAGCTTGAAAATATAACTAATCTGCGTGTGCACTGCTTCTGGACCGAGGCACCCTGGTCTACTTACCTATCCTGCGCGCGCTCACGCCGTCTGCAGGCTGTCGCCGAGCAGCGCGCTCACGCGCTTGAACTCCTCGAAGTTGAACTCGTTTGCCTCGGTCTTCACGCCCATGGATTCCTGCAGCTTGCGCAGGACTTTGGCTGACAAACTGAGCCTCTCCTGGAGCTCCTTGTAAACGTCCTCGGCGTTCTCGGGGGGCGGGCTCCGAATGGAAACGCCTTTACCTTCAGCTGGATTCCACGCGGCCAGGCCAGCCGACACCATGAAGCGGAACGCCAGGCGAATCGCCGCTTCGATGGCGTCGGAGTTGCCATTGAAAGAATTCACGTTCTTCGACAGCTTGTACGGATCCTGCGTCGACTGCATCGCCGACAGCAACACCTTCTTCACGATGCCGGCATCCTTCTTGAAGTCCTCCTGCTGCAAGGGCGGCTCGACGCGTAGCTTCTTCTGCGGCGGCGCCTCTGCACCCTCGGCCTCGTTGCCGGCAGGCGCGGATTGGGTCAGCCCACCCACCCCGCGCGCTGGTGCGTTGTGCGCCGCAGACCCCGCGGCTCCCCTGGGCGGCTCTGCAGCGACCTGGGACGCGGGGATGGGCTCTTTCGGTGCATTCTCGATGCAGGGCGCTTCCACCGCCTGCAGCGCCACGAAGTCCACTTCCTTGCCGTCTAAAAGGTCCTTCAAACCGTGGCAGAGCCTACGTTTGCCAATCCTGCGCGTTATCCTGATCATTTGCTGTTGGGTTTCCTCTGCATGGATGAACATTTTCCACGTTGGCAATGTTCGTGTTTCAGTTTCTACTTGGCACGGTGCGCGTTGAGAAGGCGGCGCAAGGGCCAAGACGCCGAATTCCCAAACACACACATGGAATCAGGATGCAGATAACGGTCAGGATTGACACTCGCAACGGAGCCTGTCTGCAACCGCTTGGTCGCCCTCCTCCCGGTCGTCAGCACCTTGCGGCACGAGCTGCCTCAACTCCTCGAGGGAGACGTCCGGGTCCCAGTCCATCATCCTGTTGGCCGCCCTGACGAAGTTCTCGTTGTCCTGCGCGTACGCTGCGAGGCCCACGCGTCCAGGGCCCACTGCCAGGAAACCCATCATGGTTAATATGATGAGGTCCACGTGCACGGCGTGGATCTGTACCTCTGTCGTGCATGGATTCTGGGCGAAGGCCTTCATGTCCCAATTCTTGGCGACGTTGCGGAGGGTCGACATGAGGTTCACCCTCGCGCACACCGATGGGCTGACAATCTTTTCGATGGACGCCAGCGTGGCAGGAGGCATGGCTGCTAGCTTGGCGCGCTCCTGCATGAACGTCTGCGCCGTTTGCCTCGCATCAATACTCATGCGAAAGTTGCCCGAGAACCAGTCCCCCAACGCTACCGCCACGTCCACAGAAGGGCCTGCAATCCGCCCACCCCTTCGGGCACCGTTCCGCGGGGGCCCCGGGGCGTCCCAAGATTTCCGCGATGCCTTAATTAGGACAACCGCAAAGCGGCCTCTAGTGGGCACAGGAAGGCCTCTGGATGGGGCCCTGGACAGCCTCAGCGGGCCCCGAGAGGCGAGAGGTCCCCAAGACGGGAACAAGACGACCCCAGAGACGACCAAGCGCAGCCCCAGAAAGCCCAATTCGGCTTCACCCCTAGAAGCCCCGACAAGGAACTAGGGGGCCTCCAAGGATCAAAGAGTACCACAAGACCGCCCCAAGACGGCCCTAGAATGCTCCATGAGAGCTTTCAGAAAATGGACGAGGGCGAAGAGGAGCAGAAGCAGGATGTGGAGGAGGTGGCGGATGAGGAGAAG